AACCTCCTAATTTGGAAAAATTTTAGTGCTCTTATCAAACATAACAACTGTTTTATTGGTACCTATGGAAAGAACAAATTTTAAAAGTAGATACAAAGTATAATGACTAGCTTTAAAAACTCTCTTACTTTAAAAAAAAAAGTTTGGGAAGCCCTATTAAATTTGCATTCTCATTTTTCCCTCGCAGTAAAGGAGAAATTTTTTTTTTGAAAGGCATTAGTAGAAATGAACACTTGGTGTATCCTCTCACCTTATTCTGAGATGCTTCTCCTCTCCTTCTCAGATGCTTCCTCTCCTTCACACACACACACACCCTTAAGCAAAGACAAGGGGACCCTGAGGGAAGCTTTCATAGAGACTGGAATTATCTTCTCTAAGAAGTGACTGGTACCTCAGCCTCCAGCAGGACCGTTGAGCTGCAGATTCTTGGGTGCCGGCATTTCTAGAGGTCTAGGGGAAACCTGACATGTTGACAAGTGTCTCCAGGAGTTTGGAGCTATACATGAAGATAGACACAGAGGCTGCCTCTCCTTAGAGAAGTCTGAGGATGGGAGGCTGGGGAGGAAACCATAACACAGGGTGGGAAGACCAGGCAGCGGTTGGGGTGACCTGCACCTCCAGTTTTACTTCAGGACAAGTGGAAGTTCCAACAAGTAGCCAGGCTCTAAACATCTCAAAAGGATCCCAATGGAGAGGGCTACCCACCAGGTAGAAGAAATTCAGGAAGTGTCCTTCTGTAGCAGGACAGGAGGAGGATTCAGAGAGGTGAACCAGAGGATGACTCACCTGTGTAAAGAAACTACAGTGTGGAGGGGCAGAACCCCCAAAGAGCCCACCAATGCACCTGGCAAGTATTGGGCATCTGCCATGCAAAGGGTTGATAGCTGGACTAGAGCACAGCAGTCAAGTGTGTGTGTGGGGAATGGGGGTATTTGCTCATTTTACTCTAATGCCTAGGGGAGCAGAAGACATGCCTGGGTTAGGACTTAGGGAGAAGGGGTATACTTTTAAATTGAGTGCCAGCTTAATCTATTTTTAATTAAATTTTTTTTATAGCTGGAAAAAGGAAAGACTGTTCTAATGCCTAAAAGTAACTAAAAGAAGCAATGGGATTTCTTATTTCTGGGAAGGAAAATCTGGAAGATCATGGCGGGGGGGGGGGAATATCACTTTTTTCTGATTTATACCCTCTCAGGAACACTCATTTAATAAATCATTTATATAACTAAGTATTCTTATTCAAAATGAAAGGAAAAACAATTGAAATGTCACACAAACACACACACATGAATCATGGGTTACCTAATAATATAAAGTATCTACATTCTCCTCAGAACAGTATAAGACAAAATGACAATGTTATCTCTCACCTTAATTTTTCCTTCTCAGGTAAATGGTTGGCATTCCTTCTTCCTCCTCTTCTCCCAGATTCTCCCATTATTTACTTATTTATTTTTTTCTGATTATTTTTAAAAGTAAAAAGAGACAAACAACAAAGGCAGAAGTCTGGACATTTTGGAAAATTAGTACAATTTCTAAATTCATCAAATATAGTAGTTATACTAACTTGCTTATGGAGATATTTTCACATAACAGTGAATTCACTCAATTTTGTGTGCAGCACCATACCCTGTGCCTGGCTTGGAGGACCGACTCCCTGAGAACAGAAGGTTTATGTGCCATATTTGCACAGTGACTTATTCAGACTACCTCATTTTCAACAACACGGCTTCATGAAATCAGCCCTCACCGAACTTCTTTCTCAACATGACCTCATATTCTTGCTGCAATCAGCAATGCCAAATGTTTTACCATTTGAATATAAAATTCTCCACTAAGAAATCCTAAATCATTTGCAAATTGCTTTCATAACTATACCCTAAATTGAGCCTTCGATTTTTTTTCTCTCCATAAAATTGTTTTCAAAATGAGTATGGTTTATTTTCTTTCCTAATGTCTACTTCCAAAATCTCTACATACAGTCTATTTTTTAGCTCAGCTGAAACAGGTGGCTACAGCCAAAAACACTCAGGCCTAAGTCTCAGCCCATTGGACCGTGTTTCCTCCCCAGAAGCAGCTGGCCTTCTGTGGGCATGAAAACTGTGACTTTTCCCCACTTACCAATACAATTAACTGGTGCCTGCTTTTAGAAGGATGCATAAAAAATCAAGAATACACAATTAAATTAGTCAAAAATTGATCAGTTGTGTAAACCAATTTTTGTAGACTGTATGTGATCCTAACTGATGAAGACTTCAAACCAACAAATTCTTCCAGAAATATATAAATGAGTGAAAAAAAGCTAGTTTTATATAAATTTTCTGATGTTCTTCTAGTTAACTTACAGCATCACAAATTATCACAAAACTTAGTGCCTTAAAATAATTGTTTTACTTGGGGCAGTATTTTGTAGATGTGGGATAGAGGATGTGCTTGTCTGGGCAGGGCTTGATTGGGGTCTCTCAGGAGGTCATGGCACATGTGAGCTGGAGTCAGCTGAAGGGCCTTCACGGTGTCCCCCTCACAGGGCTGGCTGTCGATGCTAGCTGTCATGGGGCATTCAGCCAGGACTGACCAGAACTCCAGCACATGGCCTCTCCAGCATGGTGGGAGGTCTCAGGGTTGGACTTCCTGGCGCCCACTTCTAAGGTTCAGTTGGGTGACCTTTTGGTTGTCTGTGCCACCCAGTTGGAGTTGTCAAAATCAATAGGCCCTTACACACCTTTGTGCTTTTCCTGTGCTCATCCTCATCCTCATTCTTACCTGAATCTAGTGATTTCTTTTCTTTTGGGGGGTTATCTGCAGCCCCATCTCCACTTTCTTCTCCTTTTCTGGTCTTCCCTGGCCTCCTGCTGTTCGGCCTGGAGCTGTGTGTTGATCACTGACCAGCTGGTGGACTGCTGTGCCTGGCCTTTGGGGCCTCCTTTTCTCCCTCGTTTAGACACTGGGGCTTTGGCAGTTGCCAACATTTTGTAACTTACAACTTTGTCATAATTAGATTTTTTAAAATGTTGCAAAAATGGAAGAGAGAGTTTCTGTTCACCCAGCATTCTCTTACATCTTACAAAACTGTACATCTTACAAACCTGAACATTTTACAAAAGTGTAGTACAATTATCAAAACTAAGAGATTAACATTGGTACAAAATTTCTAACTAAACTATACAGGTTATTTAGATTTACCACTTTTGAAGAAAGGTTTTGTTTTATTTTTCTGTTCTAGGAACCAACTTGGGATTCTGTATTGAATTTAGTTGTCATGTCTCCTTATTCTCCTCCATGTGTGACAGTCCCTATCTCTTCTTTGTCATTCATGACCTAACATCTCTGAAGAGCATTAGTCATGTGATTGCAGAATGCTCTTCAATTTGGGAACATTTTCTTTTCTGATTATTAGATGGGGGTTACCATTTTTTCCAGGATACCACCAGAGTGGTGTGCCCTTCCCAGTAAGTAATATCAGTAAGTACATTATATTGTTATGTCTTATTTCTAGTGATACTAATCCTAATCATTTGGTTGAGGCTGTACCTGCTGAGTTTCTCCACTGCATTGCTACTAATTTCACCTTTGTAATTAATACATTTCTTGGAGAAAATACTTTAAAAATATGCAAATATCCTCCTTTTTTCTCAAACTTTTCCCTCAAACATTGAAACTAACTTTAGCATGTATCTTTGGATCTTGCTTGCAACAATTCTTACTGTGGTGTTCTAGTGACAATTTTCTATTTCCCATATTCCTCTCACACTTATTAATTAACTACATCTGTAAGGGAATACTGTCTCTTCTCTCATTTAACCATTAATTTATTTACTTATGCTAGTATGAACATATGAACCAATTTTTTTAAGTTCCCAGTGGTTCTAAGTTGTGTTCAGTATTGAAATCCACCATTAGGTGATCCTGAACCTGGCCTATGATGTGCTTTCCCAATCCATTTGCATACATAATGGTCTTCATCAATGTATGTGTTGTTGATGTGACCTGTTTTCATGCTTTTCTAAACTTCTCAATTTCAGCTGAGGGTATCTCTCCTCTGCCATAGATAAGCTTGGCCACACCTTAAAACATCATAAAGCAAAAATATTATATGTCTAAATTTCTGGGTCTAATCCCAAACTCATAGCCATTTACATAGCCCACTTCTTCACACTTAACTAAAATAAAATTTGCTTTTAGCGTAAGCTCAAACCCTATAATGTCCTACTTCACGTGTACCATATCACTTTCCTTTAGGATTGATTTACGAGCCTCCCACCCAGGTATATGTATTAATCATTTCCATGCTACATTTCATACAAAATTTTAAACTCTTGTAAGGGGGGATTTTATATTATTACTCTTGTATTCTCTTCCCTGCACTGAATTTAGTAAGTGAGTCTCTCACTATTCAAAGTGCAGCTCACAGAGCAACAACATTGGCATCCTTTGGGTGCTTGTTAGCAGTACAGAATCTCAGGCCCCACTTCAAACCTACTACAGCAGAACTAGAATCAGCACTCTAGTCCAGTGATTCACTACTTTAATGTGTATTGGAATAACCAGAGGATCTCACTAAAATTCAGATTTTGATGCATATGTATGGAGGGGGCCAGAGATTCAGCATTGTTAAGAAGCTCTATGGTGATGCTTAAGTGCTGGTTGCTGGTCCATACTTTGAATATCAAGAATCTTACCCAGTTGCTTTCGAAATGCTGTCATAGAATAGTATCACTAGCATCACCTGGGAAATTTTTAGAATGACAAATTCTTGGGCCTAATATCAGAGCTATTGAATCAGAAATTCTGTGATTGTCACTCAGCATCTTTGTTTTAATAAGCTCCTCAGGGGACTCTGATGCATGCTAAATTTGAGAACCACTGGTCTAGTCCATCAGTACACATTAAAACATGGCTACACATTAAAATCAACTGGGGACCATAAAAACAAAAACCAAACACACAAAAAACACTGATGCCCAGTTTCCTTAGGCACAGATTTTTTTTTAAGTGAACAAAGGACATGTTTATTTTCTTTCTAAGTGCCCATGGACCACTTCACAAAGCAAACCATATTCTGAACCATAAAATAATTCTTGATAAATTTTAAAAGATTAAAATCATACAAAACTTGATCTCTTCCCAGAGTTATAAATCAATAAGAAATCACTAAGAGAAAAGAAATATGGAAAATTCTCAAATATCTTGAAACCAAACACAAATCTAAATAACCCATGAGACAAAGGAGACATCAAAAAAAGAAAGTATTTTGCAATAAAAACATAATATATCAAAACTTGTGGGATGGATGCAGGTAAAGTAGTACCATAGGAGAAATTTATAGCATTAAACATCTGCACTACAAAAGAAAAAAGTCTTAAATCAAAGATGCTGACTTCCATTTTTAAAACCTAGAGAAAGAAAAGCAAATGAAATCTAAAACCAGAAGAAAAAATAATTAATACTAGAGCAGAAATCAATAAAGTTGAAAAGAAAGAAAGAAACAAAGAAAATTGATAAAACCAAAAGCTGGTTCATTGAGAAGTTAAAACTCTCATCAGGATGATCAGGAATAAAACAGAGGAGACACATTACCAGTAACGAACATGAAAGAAGTGATATCACTGTGCATCCTACAGATATTAGAAGGATAATAATTGAATCATGACTCTTAAAGACATTCTCTGTCAATAGGAACTTCTTAACTTCCTTTAAGTTGGTGCCTTGTACATTTTTCTCTTGTAGAGCATTTAGCGTTTGATTTTTTAAATATGCTTGTTTTATTATTCCTTTCTTCAAAAAGATGTCTGAAATTCTTTTCTTTCTTCTGATCAGCCATGCAAATAGTTGTACAGTTTTATGTTTTGGTTTATTGGTTTGTTAATTTTAATAATTTAGGGCTTTTTAAAACTCCTTTTTCCATAAGAATGTTTACATTCCTTTCCACAAACTACAGCTTTTTGAAGGATGTGAGGGAATTAGTTCACTGTATTCAGTCTTCAGCTGTTTTCTTCCAACAACTCTGATAAGGCCCAGGAGAATTCTTTTGGGAATAAAAAAAAGAGACAGAAATTGTTGATTTCAGTCATCTGTTCCTCCCTCCCTAACACTTGGCCTGAATCCCACTGAAACACTTCATAGATAATGATAAATCTGTACAATCCTACCGAATACTTGGTGACTTTGTTGTTTTATGAAGGCAAGAACCCGGGGGAGAAGCAAGAACATTTCCAGATCATGTTTGACCCCCAACCAACATGCAAAGACAAGTACTGCTTTTGTATAAAGAAAAACTTTTTCTTTCTTTCTTTCTTTCTTTCTTTCTTTCTTTCTTTCTTTCTTTCTTTCTTTCTTTCTTTCTTTTTTTCTTTCTCTTTCTCTCTTCTTTCTCTCTTTCCCTCTTCTTTCTCTCTTTCCCTCTCTCTCTCCCTTCACTCCCTCTCTCCCCTCACTCCCTCTCTCCCTCACTCCCTCTCTCCCTCCCTCCCTCTCTCCCTCCCTCTCACTCTCTCTTTCCCCATGACAAAAATGCTGTTTCATTTTATAAATTCTTTATGCCATGATGTTCTTCAACTACAGAGGGTGAAGTACCCTTTTCCAGAAAAAATGAAATAAAAGAACTTGGATCTACATGATCTCACACAGAAATAAATGAGATAACATTACGAATTGATTAATACATGGATGAAGAAAGGGCTCCTGTATAGTTGTACAGCTAGATTGCAAGTATACTGAATGAGATCAAAATCTTATGTTTTCTTTTGTTTACAAGTTATTTCTAGTCATAATTTTTATTTTTAAGGATTTCATAAGTAGTGATTTAATAGTGAATCATTTAAAAGGTAGTGATTATAACCCCAATATAAAAAATACATAATACCTTTGAGTCATAAACAGGTAGTGATTATGACCCCAATGTAAAAAAATAAGCCCTGGTTCTACATGGCAACATTAATAAGAAAAGAGAGCCGAACTTGCAGGCCCTCACTGTTGTGCAGGAAGCAACGTTGATGAATTGGGCTATAGGAAATGAGATGTGTGAAAGTTTCTAAAGAGAATCTGGTGACTAGAGAAAAGAATAAAAAGGCTGAATCTGAATTCAGCACATTTTTGTAGATATGAGAGTCATGATCAGGAGAGCATGAAAAAAATTTTCACACAAAAAATGGTGTGTATCATTACTGACAAGCATGAGGGTGACTCAAATACAGAGAACTACAAAGGAGATTTGTGTAGCAGATGTAGTCTTGACTGGGGTTTCACGTAGATGGAATGACCCTACAATTTATTACCCAAACAGGACACTTTTAAGAGTAAAAGGACACAATTAACAACTGCCATGGAGCAATGAGTATAATCCAGAACTATCCTGAGGCAACCAGGATATATGATTCCTTACAGAGAGCACAAGGTAATGAGATGAAAAGGAAGAAGTCAATGAAAAGAACAGAATTTCTTGAAAAGGTACATAAATTTGATGTGACAGGTTACTGAAAACTACAGTAAAAGACATCACAGAAGATGAAGAAAATGATATTTGTGTGTAATGGCATCTTATCAAATGAAGATAAATTAAAGGCAGGGAAATTGGTAAGGACATTGATGAAGACTGCAAGTTCAAGGTTGTGTGGCTGTAGAAGAAAAAGATGTCAAGAGTAGACTTAAGAGAGATGGTGTACTGATTGCTGGCCAGTCAAGCAATAGTCAATCTAGGGATGAAAGATAAAGAAGAAGTTTAGAGAAATATTAAAACAGATAAAAATGCTCAGAAAGTACATGTGAAAAATATAAGCATGTGGATAGACTACAAGGTAAGATAGAGAAGAGTCCAGGAGAGTGTAAATGAAAGAAGGAATGAGAGAGGTGAGGCTAGCTAAAAGAGCTCAGTAACTTTGAAATCAAGAGCATCCCAGATGATAAGCTGGTCAGTGGTGTTAGAACAGTGTCGAGACCGAGAAGAAAATATAGTAGGTTTGATTTGAGGGGCATCACAAGAGGTTTCATTGAGCAATGGAAGCCAGAGATCAGTTTTTTGCAAATGTGGTTATAAAAAATGAGAGATGTTTTAGTACATCTCTAAATACTTGCCATACCATCCTTCTTTGCACAGGGTATAAGGAAATGATTGGGAAACAGGAATTTTATAGAATTTTGGAGAAAATTGCTTGATGGCTTGCTCTTTTGTTACATTTATTCATTGTTGCATTCAACCCATAAAACACATTCCATTTCACCTCTTTTGACACTCTCACTCTTGGTGACTTTGGGCTCTTTGGTATACTGATTTATAACTTTACACTCAAGTTTGGTACACCTATTAATCAAGCTTCAGTTCAATTAAATACCATTCAAGCAACTAAAACATTTTGAACTATTACTCCTTTATGAATAGATCCATTTTCATTGTGACATAGTTTGAGGAAGTATTGGAAAGTATTTGAGAGAAGTTGCTCAAAATGGGAAAAAATGAAAATATAGTTTGGGCAACTTCTTACAATGACCTGGGGAATTTAGAACTGGGTCCTTCAGTCACCTGTGAAATTTTCATGAAAAAGGGCTCTTCTTTTCTTAAGTTGCTTGAGACCTGAAGCTATGTAAACTTATTTTCTAATGAATTTTAACATTTTTTAAACCTAGGCTTGACTCCTGAAACATTTGTATTCAAAGCATTCTGTGATGGGCCACATAAAATATGACAGAACTTACTGACTTTTTGTCCTTAAATATCAATGTGATTATGTTCTTATTAATTGCTTCCTAAATGAATTGACCATAAAATAAAGAATCCCATTAAGGAAAAAAAAAGAAAATAACAAACAAACCTGGCACAGACAACACAGGGGATTGCCAAAAGGAAAGGGTCATGGGGGAGGGGAAGAGGGCAAAGGTGGGGATAAATGGTGGCAGAAAAAAACTTGACTTTGGGTGGTGAGTGCACAGTACAGGATGTAGCTGATGTGTTACGGAGCTGTGCACTTGAAACCTCTATGGTTTTATTCACCAATGTCATTCCAATAAACCTAACAGCAACAAAAAAGAAGAAATAAAGACTCCTTATAACCCCTCTTTGGGGTTTAATTCTCACTCTTTTACAAAATAAATTTGTCCTGATTCAGGGTCACTACTTGCCTTGAACTTTCGTATACATTAGAAACAAACACACCAGTCCCCCAACACTTCGCTTTCAATCTGTTGGGACAATATCAAAATAAAGTTGAACATGTATAACATCTCTAACGTGAAGAGCACCCCTGGAGTTGTGTAGTGTACAGCCCGCACAACCGCACACGGCAGCCCTGGGAAGATGTCCCTGACGCCTTCCCCTCTACTCCCAGGTACGGAGTCACCATGAAGCAAGACACGGACACGAGGCCCGAAGAGTGAGTCAGTTCTTCCATAAAAACCTCATAATACAGGGTGATAAAACCAAAGACAGAGATCTAACTTCCTGGCACTTATAACCGGGATAACCTGAATTCCTCTCAGTAATCCTCCCAGAGCGCCAACCTCCCACTCAGCGGTGATGCCCCAGCATGCCCTAGGAAGGATGACATCAACATTAGCTCTGCTCAGGGCTGAACCTTAGTTAGTGAAGCAGCCCTGTTCCGGTAAGGAATTTCATTTTCTGACATTGGAGTCCTAATAATTGGCTGTGCTTACCCACAAAAAAAGGGTGGTGATACCCACCTGCCTACTTCATGGAGTATCTCAAAAGAGATAACCCATGGGAATATTTTGTCAGCTATTAAGGGCTGAGACCAGATAAGATTTTATAAACCTTGAAATATAAAAATATTTGATAAAATGCCAAAAAAGTAAAACTCACTTAAAAGTAATAGAAGGAGAGGTTTGGGTTGAGCTTACCTGGGGCTTGTTGCAGGAACACGAAGTGCCAGCATTGCCTTCTCTCTGTTCCTGCTGCTGAGCAAGTATCCATATCTCCTAAAACAACCTAGCTGCCGGTTCGCCAGGGGACATGCACCCAATCCAAAGGCATACCCAGCTTCATGCAGCTACTCTCTAATAAGATACTTTAATTGCATGCATCCCCTTTCATTTAAGGATTTCTAAATATACTTTAGTCAATAATTAAGTCTTGCAACATCAAGTCAGCCTCCAAAGTTTTAGAGAAGTTGCAGAATTTTAAGGCTAAAGATCAATGCCTGAATAAGAATAAAATATCATGCATTGAAGGTTGTTCCTTTTCTGAGTTATGTGTGATCACCCCAATTTAACTTTTTTTTCTTTGTGTAGTCAACGTTCATAAGCTAGATTGGGAACTAAGAACCGTAGCATAGTGAACAAACTGCTAAAGACAGGGGTCCAAGTTCTGGCTTTGAAGCCACCTGGACCTGTGGCCAAGGCAAGCCACTTTCCCTTCCTGGGCTTTGGATTACACATGGGTCAAGAACCAGAGGCTGCTGATATTAATGGTTAAAGCACCTAAAGAGAGTTAGATAGGAACTAACTCCCTAGGGACTCAAAGGAAGATTAAATAGCAAACACCTGCACTGCAACTCAAACTCATGTTGTTTCCACAAGCCTTTCATCTTCTGTATTTGGTCTTTGCCACCAAATCCCTCAACCTATTGATCAAGGGGAAATGAACAGTAATGAGACAGTGATTGATTGGTTCAAGCAAATGAAGATATAATCAGATCATTGTTTTGAATATCAAATACTTCACACAGAGTTTCAGATAATCTGTCAACCTGATGTGATTACTGCTAACATACCTGAACCACTTGACTGATTCAATTCAGGTAGTACTTATTTTTCCCCCAAGGCATCTTCTGGCTTCATTAGATGCTCCTAATACTTAAAAATCCCACATACGCAAGCAAACTGCCATAAGATATCTTAAAGCCTCCTGTCTGCTGAATCTTCACAAATGTCCCTAATGCTTGGCTTCTCTTTGAAGTTAGCAGGCAAAAATGCTTAATTAGATTTCCTTAAGTTTCTCCCCTGACCCTATGCCACATTGCTTTCAAAAGCCTCACACTGGATTTGTACTGAAGAGGTGGGTAATGAAGAAAAAAAAAT